GCATCCCATAGGTTTTGGATCGTCGTGTTTTCATTGTCATTTGTCTCTAGGTATTTTTTGATTTCTTCAGTGATCTCTTGGTTATTTAGTAACATATTGTTTAGCATCCATGTGGTTGTGTTTTTTACGTTTTTTTCCCTGTTCTAATCTCATAGCATTGTGGTCCAAAAAGATGCTTGATAGGATTTAATTTTCTTAAATTTACTGAGGCTTGATTTGTAACCCAAGATGTGATCTATCCTGCAGAATGTTCCATGTGCACTTGAGAAGAAAGTGTAATCTGCTGTTTTTAGATGGAATGTCCTATAAATATCAATTAAATCTATCTGGTCTGTTGTGTCATTTAAAGCTTCTGTTTCCTTATTTATTTTCATTTTGGATGATCTGTCCATTGGTGTAAGTAAGGTGTTAAAGTTCCCCACTATTATTGTGTTACTGTCGATTTCCTCTTTTATAGCTGTTAGCAGTTGCCTTATGTATTGAGGTGCTCCTATGTTGGGTGCATATATATTTATAATTGTTATATCTTCTTCTTGGATTGATCCCTTGATCATTATGTAGTGTCTTTCCTTGTCTCTAACATTAACATTCTTTATTTTAAAGTCTATTTTATCTGATATGAGTACTGCTACTCCAGCTTTCTTTTGATTTCCATTTGCACGGAGTATCTTTTTCCATCCCCTCACTTTCACTCTGTATGGGTCCTTAGGTCTGAAGTGGGTCTCTTGTAGACAGCATATAGATGGGTCTTGTTTTTGTATCCATTCAGCAAGCCTCTGTCTTTTGGTTGGAGCATTTAATCGATTTATGTTTTTTTTTTGTTTTTTGTTTTGCGGTATGTGGGCCTCTCACTGTTATGGCCTCTCCCGTTGAGGAGCACAGGCTCTGGACGCGCAGGCTCAGCGGCCGTGGCTCACGGGCCTAGCTGCTCCGCGGCATGTGGGATCTTCCCGGACCAGGGCACGAACCCGTGTCCCCTGCATTGGCAGGCGGACTCTCAACCACTGCATCACCAGGGAAGCCCTAATCCATTCATGTTTAAGCTAATTATCGATATGTATGTTCCTATGACCATTTTCTTAATTGTTTTGGGTTTGTTTTTGTAGGTCCTTTTCTTCTCTTGTGTTTCCCACTCAGAGGAGTTCCTTTAGTATTTGTGGTAGAGCTGGTTTGGTGGGGCTGAATTCTCTTAGCTTTTGCTTGTTTGTAAAGCTGTTGATTTCTCCATCGAATCTGAATGAGATCCTTGCTGGGTAGAGTAATCTTGGTTGTAGGTTCTTCCCTTTCATCACTTTAAGTATATCATGCCACTCCCTTCTGGCCTGTAGAGTTTCTGCTGAGAAATCAGCTGTCAACCTTATGCTAGTTCCCTTGTATGTTATCTGTTGTTTTTCCCTTGCTTTCAATAATTTTTCTTTGTGTTTAATTTTTGCCAATTTGATTACTATGTGTATCGGTGTGTTTCTCCTTGGGTTTCTCCTGTATGGGACTTGCTGCACTTCCTGGACTTGGGTGGCTATTTCCTTTCTCATGTTAGGGAAGTTTTCAACTATAATCTCTTCAAATATTTTCTCTGGTCCTTTCTGTCTGTCTTCTCCTTCTGGGACCCCTATAATGCGAACGCTGTTGAGTTTAACGTTGTCTCAGAGGTCTCTTAGGCTGTCTTCATTTCTTTTCATTCTTTTTTCTGTATTCTGTTCTGCATCAGTGAATTCCACCATTCTGTCTTCCAGGTCAGTTATCCTTTCTTCTGCCTCAGTTATTCTGCTATTGATTCCTTCTAGTGTAGTTTTCATTTCAGTTATTGTATTGTTCATCTCTGTTTGTTTGTTCGTTAATTCTTCTAGGTCTTTGTTAAACATTCCTTGCATCTTCTCGATCTTTGCCTCCATTCTTTTTCCAAGGTCCTGGATCATCTTCACTATCATTATTCTGAATTCTTTTTCTGGAAAGTTGCCTATCTCCACTTCATTTAGTTGTTTTTCTGGGGTTTTATCTTGTTCCTTCATCTGGTATAGAGCCCTCTGCCTTTTCATCTTGCCTATCTTTCTGTGAATGTGGTGTTTGTTCCACAGGCTGCAGGATTGTTGTTCTTCTTGCCTCTGTCGTGTGCCCTCTGGCTGATGAGGCTATCTAAGAGGCTTGTGCAAGTTTCCTGATGCAAGGGGCTGGTGATGGGTAGAGCTGACCGTTGCTCTGGTCAGCAGAGCTGAGTAAAACTTTAATCCACTTGACTGGTGATGGCTGGGGCCGGGTTCCCTCCCTGTTGGTTGTTTGGCTTGAGGCAACCCAACACTGGAGCCTACCTAGGCTCTTTGGTGGGGCTAATGGCAGACTCTGGGAGGGCTCACACTCAGAACCTCTGCTGCTAGTGTCCTTGTTCCCACAGTGAACCACAGCCACCCCCCGCCTCTGCTGGAGATGCTCCAACACTAGCAAGTTGGTCTAGTTCAGTCTCCCCTGGGGCCACTGCTCCTTCCCCTGGGTCCCGATGCACACACTACTTTGTGTGTGCCCTCCAAGGGTGGAGTCTCTGTTTCCCCCAGTCCTGTCGAAGTCCTGCAGTCAAATCCCACTAGGCTTCAAAGTCTGATTCTCTAGGAATTCCTCCTTCCGTTGCCGGACCCCCAGTTGGGAAGCCTGACGTGGGGCTCAGAACCTTCACTCCAGTGGGTGGACTTCTGTGGTATAAGTGTTCTCCAGTCTGTGAGTCACCCACCCAGCAGTTACGGGATTTGATTTTATTGTGATTGTGCCCCTCGTACCGTCTCATTGTGGCTTCTCTTTTGTCTTTGGATGTAGGGTATCTTTTTTGGTGAGTTCCAGTGTCTTCCCATCAATGACTGTCCATCAGCTAGTTTTTATTCTGGTGTTCTCACGAGAGGGAGTGAGAGCACGTCCCTCTACTCCGCCATCTTGGTTCAGGGCCGATCTTTATTTCAATTTTACTGGAGAACTACTTAACTCCCTCTGTTTTCATGAGTAGTTTTGTTAGGGAACCACTGACTGAAACTGCCCACACTGGATAGGCACGATAACCACTTGCATGACTTATTGTACAATAGGAGATCCTGGTAAGGAACATGGAACTAACAAAGTACCACCAATTGGAAGAATCTGAGAAAGGTCAAAAGGAGAGAGGAGGTGCCAGTCCATATGTCCTACCAACCTCCCAGAATCCTTCTTGCTGGAATCCATCTTGGCTGAGAGATGTGCATGCCACCAGGAAGAACCATGAGTCAGAATGATTGGCTAGAGACAACCTGGAAACTAACCACATCACCACAAAACCTGAGACTGTGAGCCACGTGGCAGAGTACTCCTCCTGGGTTCCCTCTGCTGCTCTCCACCCAGGTGCCTCTTCTCACTAAAGTCTCTTGCTTTGTCAGCATGTGTGTCTCCTTGGACAATACATTTCTGAGTGTTAGATAAGAGCCCACTCTTGGCCCTGGAAGGGGTGTCCCTTCCTGCAACAGTTTCCGTCCTTTGTTATGTATACCTAAAAAAATCAGCAGACTGGGGGCACTCTCCAGTCATTGTGTCAATCAAAATTCCCTTCTCAAATTTCCAAATGCCCCTGTAGAGATGGACATTTGTCTCCAACTGAATACGTCTTCTTAAATGAAAGGGACTGTAATCTATAGAGGCCAGCAAATGGTACTGAGGTTTCTGGCCTAGGAGAGCTTTGAAAGTATTTAAAATGTTTGACATGGAATCCCCATTAGTCCATCCTATTAGTCCAAAAAATGAAAGTCCTCTTGCTGAGTGAAATTACTTGGTTTCTCTAAAATTTCCATTAAAAATAAGCTGGCCCAAGAGAATGACAAAGACAAATTTTTATTATTTATTTATTTATTTGATGGGAAATGGGAAGGTATTTTAATGGGGGAAAAAGGAACGAGTGAAGAGACTGTCTGTAAACATTTATCTAGCATAGCATCTAGCACATCCAGAAGTCAACAACGTTTTCTGAGTAGAGTACAGAAGTCCCTGTACTCATGGTAATGGACAATCAATGGGGGGCAATGCATGGCTATCCAGGTATTTATGGTTATTTATTTATTTATTTTATCAAGATCACTATGAGTTGTAGAGACATGACCTTTTTACTATATAAACATCTGGCAAATCAAAGACAAATCAAATCAACTTACGCTTTGTAAACTAACCATTTTAAAGATAATCATTGCTTGGAAGAATCCCTCAATTACATTTTGATGTTTGTAGATATGCAATCAAATTGTAAGTTATGAAGAGAAAAGAAAGCCTTACCAAATAATTGATGACATAAAATCGGTCATATTCTCTGTTCTTAGGATTGATCCTACGATGCTGTTTTTTCCTCATGTGATCTTTAAGTGTATTTTTGTCCCTGAAGGTCTTTTCACAGTACAAGCACTGCAAGCTACAAGAAAGACACAAATGCTGAGATTAAATAAGTCTCTCAAATAGTTGTTGCATAGCCCTTTATTATTATTATTATTGGGTCTTATAATTTATTCATTTTAGGACTCACAGAATCTTCAAATGGCATATGATATCCTTCTGGAATCCCTCTCATTTTATTCATTTGGCTTTAGAGGATGCATGCTGTGGTTTATTTTGTAGTTGGCTAACTTGGCCAACTTGGCTATTTAGTTAAAACTGTGATATAGATAGCAATTATCCAAAAATGATTTTGGTGCTTTACTAATCAAATTACCTATTCTAAAAATGAAAATGTAGGTATGTTCTTCAAATAAATATATGATAACTAGCTTTGGTTGCCTCCATTGAGTATAACAATTAGTCCATGGTTTGGTATATCTTGTGACCTAATTTGCAGGTCTGATTCCTAGCACCAGCTGTGGGACGTGGTCAAGTTACTTGACCCCTCTGATACCACTCATTTTCTGCTAACCTGATGATAAAACATACATTTTAGAGAATTTTTACGATAATGTATACATATATGTGCACATAAATTCATAATCATGATAACAATTCACACAAAATATAAATGTATGTATACATGTTTAATTTATTGATATATATATGAATAAAGTACCTAGCACATTCATAGCATACAGTAAGTGCTATTTTTACTATCTTATCATTCACATGTATCTTCTGCTAGAATATTTCCACTGACTGGGAATTCATTACCTAATGAGGCAGTAATGACCAGTTTTGAACAGATTACTAACAAAATGTCTTCCTCATACTAAGCTTGACAGTTGATACTGCCTGGATTACCCAACAGCCATTAGAGTTCTACTTTCTGGAGTAACACAGAATAAGTATACATGAAAACTTATTCAAAAACCAAAACTCTGATGTTTTGGTTTGTTTGGCCGCACTGTGTGTTGGGCACATGAACTTGGGTTCGACAACAAAATGACTGAAATCAGTTGTTGTTTCTATTCTGAATTCTTTTTCATCTTTACTAAACACCCTTCCAATTATTTCTTATGCCACAGAAGTAACTATATTCTTTTATAGTAAACAATTTATGGGCAATAAGTTGATTAGGGATATCATTACTGCTAATCTTGCTAGAAAGCACACCTGGTATTATTTTATAAATGAATGGTCATTCAATAAAAGAGTAAAGAGACTTGTTTTAATGTACTGTTGATACCGGAATTTGAATTCAGAACTTTTTATAATGGGTATTTCTTTCTCAATGTTATTGCTCCAAATGTTGTGGTCTGAGATACCACATTCATTAGTATTATATTAAATGAATAAAACTAGGTTTTGAGAGTAAAATCTTGGGCCCTTTCCTAGAAAGAAAAGGGGATAGATTTTTGAAAGCCATTTTGGTGATGTAGAGAATTTCCTTCCCTATTTCTACAAGCTAAACTCTAGATACTCACGGTTGCCAGAATATGACCTTGAGAAAAGTGGAGTGTTATGATATATAAATGTGAATAAATACTAAAAGGTAAAAGAATGCAATCAGTATGTTATGTTTCACATAAAACTGAATAACATCTAGCAATGTGATAATATATTTACTTTACTAAATGTGTAGAAAAATTATAGAGAAAAGTAAAGAAATTATGAATCCGAAATGAAGAATAGTGGTTTCTGGGGGAGACACTACTGAGGAAGGGCACACAGCGAGATTCAAAGGAAATAATAACATTCTCTTTCTTAGGCTGGTTAAGTATATTTTTCATACCCTATATAATAACATACCTTATAATGGCATATACATTGTTTGATATATATGACATTTACATTTTAAAACTACTAAAAGGCAATATGATCTACAAAAAATAAGGATTGTCACACAAAATGTGAACTCCTCCAACACGAGAAATGAGAAAATTCCATTTCTTGAGTTACTTCTGACTATTAATTTTTAAAAATTCAAAACAGAATCCAAGATTGAGACAGCTTCAGGTCGTGTTTCATAAACAAGTACTTACTTGTCAAGCTTTTTCTGTAATGTACACAGAAATTCATTGCAGTTCACAATGTTGTCTGGCAACCCAATGTTGAAAGTGTGTTCTCTGGCCATATGGTTCAAAAGAACAGATCTAGGAAGAAATTTGAGCAATTTGCATTATTTACAACTTATCTAGGAACAAATCAGGTCATGAGTAGTGTTTGTATAATGATAACAACACTAATTAGAAGTGTAAGCAAAGGTTAATAAACACTGAAACACACATTTGGGCTATGAAAGAGTGACATGTTATAAAAAAAGTATGCATATAAACACTATCATATGAAAAGAAAGTCAACAGAAACTGTTGCTGAGGAAGCCCAAATGTTGGACTTGTCAGACAAAGACTTTAAATCAGACAATAAGAATATGTGTAAAGAATTAAGGAAAACCATGTCTAAAGAATCAAAAAAAGGTATGAGAATAATATCTTATAAAAAAGAGGATACTAATAAAAAAACAGAAATTAAAAAAAACATACAAATCTGGAGATGAAATGTACAGTAACTGAAATGAAAAATTCACTAGAAGGTCTCAAAAGAAAAACTGAACTGGCAGAACAAAGAACCAATGAACTTGAAGATAAATTTAGATTTTCTAGTCTGTGGAACAGAAGAAAAAAGAATGAAGAAAAATAAATTTGAGCCTCAGACACCATCCCATCTACCAATATCTGTATAATAGGATTCCCCAAAGGCAAAGAAAGATAGGGGAAGAAAGAATATTTGAAGAAATAATGGCCAAAAACTTCCCAAATTTGATGGAAAACATTAATCCAAACAGAAGAAGCCCAGTAAACTTCAAGTATAATAAATCAGAGAGACCCATACCAAGAAAAAATATGAAGATGAAATCAAGACAGGTCCCAGATAACAAAACCTGAGAAACTTCACTGCTAACAGACCTGCCCAACAAGAAACTAAAAGAAGTCCTTTGGGCTAAAATGAAAGGATGCTAGATAGTAACTCAAACATACATAAAGAAAGGATGCTAGATAGTAACTCAAACATACATAAAGCTCCAGTAAAAGTAATTACACAGTCAAATATAAAAGGCAGTATTAAATGAATTATTGTTTACAAATCTTTTCTTCCCATATCTGATGTAAAGATAACTGCATGAAGTAACGATTTTAAAGACATGTTAATGAGCTTATAATGTATAAAGATGTAGTTTGTATGAAAACAATAGCACAAAGGAGTGGGGAAAGAGCTAGCTACGTTGGAGCAAAGTTTTTGTATACTGTTGAAATTACGTTGGTATTAATCTGAACTCAATTGTTTTAAGTTAAAATGTTAGGGGCTTCCCTGGTGGCACAGTGGTTGGGAGTCCGCCTGCCAATGCAGGGGACATGGGTTTGGGCCCTGGTCTGGGAGAATCCCACATGCCATGGAGCAGCTAGGCCCGTGAGCCACAACTGCTGAGCCTGCGTTCTAGAGCTTGCGAGCCACAACTACTGAGCCCTTGTGCCACAGCTACTGAGGCTGCATGCCTAGAGCCCGTGCTCCACAACAAGAGGCCACCGCAATAAGAGGCCTGCATACCACAATGAAGAGTAGCCCCCGCTCGCTGCAACTAGAGAAAGCCCATGCGCAGCAACGAAGGCCCAGTGCAGCCAAAAATAAATAAATTTATAAAAAAATAAATAAAATGTTAATTGTAATCTCCAGTGAATTGTAGTGGATAGTGAATGGGCCACTAAGAAAATAACTCAAAAAATATAGTAAAAGAAACAAAGGAATAAAAATGGTACACTAGAAAATATCTATTTAACAAAAAAGAAGGCAGTAATGGAGGGGAGAAATAAAAAAAAGAAACTTAAAACATAAAACAAACAGCAAAATGGTCTAAGTAATCCCATCTCATCAGTAATTACATTAAACATAAATTAGACACTCCAACCAAAAAGCAGAGATTAGCAGAATGGATTAAAAAACATGATCCAACTATATGCTGTTTACAGGAGACACATTTTAGATTAAGATTGAAAGAAATAGCTTCATACATTCCAGAGTCAAAAGTGTATAGGAGAGGGGAGATAGATGTAGGATAGCAAGAAAGTACTTATTCTTCTATCTTTATCATTAACCCATGTCCTTTGTCTTTCTATTCTTTTTATGTCCCTAGGCTGGGAGGACACAAATATAATCCCAAAGTACTGCTAATAAAGTACATAGCTGGAATCAGGTTATATCTTTAATCTTTTATTATAAACTGACCTTTTCATAAACAAGAACTGCAGAAGGGGACATTTTATAAAAATGAGATGCTGCTTATCTTTGTCATTGGTTAATTTCTTAAAAATTTCATTTATTAGAGAACAATGACATAGTCAATCAAAACTACTGAGGAGTTCACTTAATTCCCATGTCACCCCAGTCAACAGAGAATACAGATACAGGTAGAAAAGGAGGATTATATTAGGAATTATAGGAGAACCAATATTCAGTAAGTTGAAATACCAATATTATCAGAATTTCATATCACATGGACACATACTTCAAATCACATCAGTCCCTACATTTATCATAAAAACTTAAGCTTTATATAAATATAAAATAGTTTTATAAAATAAACTTTATATAAATATAAAAATATTTATAGCTTTTTAATACTAGAGATTCCTAATAATAATCACACGTCTCCTCACTAGGTTAATAATAGTTTTAACATAAAATCAGAAACAACATGCTAAAAAGAAGTAGCAATGCTTGGTAAACTTTTTGATAGTGAGGTAGTCCTCACTGCCATCCTCATAAAGCCCTTTGAAACTGACAGGGTTAGAGCATAATTAGTGACCTTGGCACAGATTTTTCTCCATGCTAACTGATTCTATATGAGAATCAAATCTTCATCACTGGTGTTTTCAACATTGATGCTTCATCCAAACCCTTTTCTAAATTCAAACAAATAGCTACCCTCTCCTCTTCAATGTTTTTCAGGCAACGATGTCAGTTTGTGCTAGGCTTTTCTTTTTTTTTTAGAAACTAAAGACTGCTTTCATTCAAGTGGGTGGGAGAATGATATTTTTCTGATTGTCCATTGTATGCTGTCACTGAAACTATTCCCATTTCCTAGAGGTTACAACTTCATGACTTATATTTAAGTGAATGTACATTTGTAAATATTACTGTTGCATAAAAAGAAATTTGTCTGATCTTTGTCCCTGGTTCCAGGCACTGAGCTTCAAAAATCCTTGGAATTTCTCTATGATCAGATTACCTTTGCTAATAAAGTGACTTGTGGTAGGCCTCTAGAAAGCTTCAGGATGGGGATTGGTTACCAGAAAGACTAACAATGTGATCAAAGTGTTGGGACTTAGAGCCACCCTGACCTCCAGAAAGGAGAGAGGGGCCGGAGATTAAGTTCAATAATTAAATCAATCATGCTTACATAATGAAGCATGTAAAAATTCTGGATACCAAAACTCAGTGAAGATTCTTGGTTGGTAAATACACTGATGTGCCAGGAAGATGATATATCCTGATTCTTTGAGGAGAAGGCATAGAAGCTCTGTGTTCAAGACCCATCCAGACCCTGCTCTATGTGTCTCTTCATTTAACTGTTCCTCATCTGTACCCTTTATGATAAACACTTTCCTGAGTTTTGTGAGCCATTCTAGTGAATTAATGAACCTATGCAAATTATTGGTGGGTAGCCATGAATTCGTAGCCAGTTGGTCAAAAGTGCAGGTGTCCCGGGGAACCCCTAAACTTGTGGCTGGTGTCTGAAGTGCGGGCAGGCTTGTTGGGGATGATGCCCTTAAACCTGTAGAGTCTGATGCTAACTCTGGGTGGTTAGCATTAGAACTGAATTACAGTACAGCAGTTGGTTTTGGGCCAGTTGGGGTTGGTGACAAAATTACCAATTCTCCATTTTTTCCCCCTTAGATCTTTATCATTTTTAATGTTCAAAAGTGAAACACCAAAAACTGCTAAAGGATTTTTTTTTTGTCCACTTGGCTCAGCATTTGGGATCTTAGATCCCCAGCCAGGGATCAAACCTGTGGCTCCTGCAGTAGAAGCACAGAGCCTTAACCACTGGACTGAGGGAAGTCCCAGCCAAAGGTTTAGCATTAACAGGTTAATACAGAAGGGCACGTCTGTTGTAGTTTGCTGCACGTGGTCTTGCCTGTCAGACAATTTAAAAAGTCCTATAACATTAAACACAATTCTATTTCTGGCATCTAAAAAATTTATCCCCCTACTCTGCTTAGAGCAACTACATTCCATCTTTGATGTCTGGTGGATTAAAAAAAAATTACTGTGGATATATGAAAGGGTTCTGAGCCAATCCATAGAACTTAGTCTATATAGCCATTGTGGATGTTTTGGTAAGTCTTCAGATGAAAAACAGTAAAATTTAAAGACATATATAATTGCTACCTGTTTCCGAGGAATTCCTCATTGCAAAACATACAACTGCCTTGAAAATTGTTATCATTTCGCTCTTGTTGCTGTTGTTCCAGAATTTCTTTCTGTAAAATAGAAACACAGATATATGATATTATCTTTAATAAATCCATAGTTAGCTAATGAAAAATGTCATAGTCTGGATGGGAGGAAATTGGGGTAGAAGCATAAAAGGAAGTATGCGAACACTGATGATATTTTGAATTTCTCCATTCCTGTCCTTGTACCTAAACTCCAAGTCTATACTGTTAAATGCCAGACAACATACCATTAGGATAGCTATGCAGGAAACTTGAAGTCAATAGGGTCTCACCATCCTTCACTACTCTGTCCTTCCTCCTGTCTTTATTAATCATCTCCCAACCTCACTCTCTTCCAAAAGCAAAAATGTGCTCCTTTCTGTAATTCTCAGTTTAGTTTGTAATCAAGTTCTGATCAATTTTTCACTTGGACTGTCTTTCATATTACTTCTCTCCACCATTCCCAATGCCATCACCCTGAATCCAGTCTTTAATCAGTCATTATGAGATTACTATAAGTAAGTCTCTTAGAGGGTCTGCCTTATTTCAATCCTTTTTTTCTATCATATCCATCCTCTCTTTTGTTGCTAGAAAAACTTCTTAAAATTATTTTCATGTACAATTACCCAGTTACTCTCCAACTCAAATAATTTAAAATATACCTTGGTAACACCCTATTCTAATCATGGTGGTTCTTCTACACATTGTTTTTCCATGAGGTAATTTTATTTCTCTTTGCTTTTTCCCTCTTATAAATATTAACTGTTCTTTAAGGTCCAACTTGATTCCCATTTCTGCCATGTAGTCATTTCTGGACTACAATACAATAGTTAAGAGCTCAGACTCTGAAACATCAAATAGAACTAGATTTGAATCTGGCTCTCACCTGTACTCAATATTTTATTTAACATCTTTAATACTCAATTTTCTCAATTTTAAGATGAAAATGAAAATATTACCTCATAGCATTGTTTATAGGATTAGATCAGAAATTTATGTACAGAATTCAAATTGTGCATGTATATGGTCAAGCCACTCAAGATGGCTGTTCTCTTGCTCTCTGTACATCCCCTGACCAACCAGTGCCTGCTTCACCTATACCCTACGCACATGACTGACCTTCCTGTGTACTTGCCCCAGGCCCCAGCTAGTGATTGTTCTCATCAAAGGGGCGCTGAGGGGTGTGCCTCTCTACTGGTTTCCCTGGTAACTAATGAGCTCACCTGATGTCAATTCCCCAATAACTGGTAACTTGCTTTACCATCATCTCTTTTGCTTGCTTTTATCTTCTAAATGGATATGAAAACTCTTTGAAATTAAAAGAAAGTCTTTATGCTGTTCTTATTTTACACCTGCATACGACTCTCCAGCTATTCTTATAACATGAAGCTCAAAGCACGAACTTCATAAAGTTTATTGCTGATTCTGTAAATATCTGTAGGACAGCATAAAAAATGAGCTTGTATAATCTAGAAGCTTAACAAATTCCATGTGGCATTTCTGGAAATGTATCACCAAACATTTAGAAATATTAATCCACTGAAGAAAAAAATTAAGAAGCTGCCAGGATAAAAATCAATTCAATCAACTTCTGGTTTCAGCCATGATGAAATAATGGATATAACACTTCTCCCCTTGTAAACTACTGTAAAACCAACTGCTTCATATATCTTACCTTTTTTCAGAAAATGTATAATAGGGACTTCACTGGTGGCTCAGTGGTTAAGAATCCGCCTGTCAGTGCAGGGGATAAAGGTTCGAGCCCTGGTCCAGGAAGATCCCACATGCCGTGGAGCAGCTAAGCCCGTGCGCCACAACTACTGAGCCTGCGCTCTAGAACCCGCGAGTGACAACTACCGAGCCTACGTGCCACAACTACTGAAGCCTGTGTGCCTAGAGTCTGTGCTCCGCAACAAGAGAAGCCACCAGTGAGAAGCCCACACACGACGAAGAGTAGACCCCACTCACCGCAACTAGAGAAAGCCCACGCGTAGCAACGAAGACCCAACACAGCGCCCCCCTCCACCACACAAAAAGAAAATGGACAATAGCACATGGCTGTGACTGATGAGTAAAAAAATAATACATTGCCAGTTTTCTGTTGGGTAGTGTTTTCCAAATTGCAACATAGGGAAGTTAAACCCAAATGAAGGTTATGTATCTACCTCACTTGGTGTAGAAGAAAAAGAAGACTGGCATTCAGGATACAAAAGCAAGGGGAATTTGTGGGACAAGGTACTAGAAAGAAGAGAGCTGCAGAGGAGGGGCTCAAGAAACCTGGACTGGGATTCTTTTTACCTTGGTCCAAATACTGAGCTGTACATGTATAGGGCAGAACTCTGTGAGGCTTTACAAAGGAGTTGCCAGGGTCTGTGAAGATTCTGGAAATTACAGCACTGGAATATGTTGGAGCTTTGACATACAGAATGCAGACACCTTGCTCAACACTTCAGGCACACAGCAAATATAAAAGAACACTGTTTACTTCATGAAGTTTAGGGCTTTATGCTGGCAGCAAGTGGACAGATAAAAGCAAAAGAAATAAAGGGAGTAAGGTGGATGTATCAGACAATTTTAATTATTGCTTTTTCTTTTTTTGCAGTACGCGGGCCTCTCTCACTGTTGTGGCCTCTCCCGTTGTGGAGCACAGGCTCCGGATGCGCAGGCTCAGCGGCCATGGCTCACAGGCCTAGCCGCTCCGCGGCATGTGGGATCTTCCCGGACTGGGGCATGAGCCCATGTCCCCTGCATCGGCAGGCGGACTCTCAACCACTGCGCCACCAGGGAATTATTGCTTTTTAAGTTTAAGTGAATCTTACATAAAAACTGAAAGTGACAGTAAAAGTCAAATTAAAGGAAAACCGAACTTTTACAAACGTATAGTTCGACTAAAAAAGAGAAAACACGGTTCAGAGCTCTATATTTACAACTTTGGTAGCAGCAAAACCAAAAACCCAATAGATAAAGCTCTTGATAAAGATCACTATAAACATCCCACAGTAAGGCTGAGCAATACTTTCTCTGTCTGCTCCTGTTTTCAGCCTACAAGACCCGTTAATGCTTATTAAAAATCATCATCTCATATTTCTCAGGCAGGTGATGATATAACCCAAAGTTGGCTAAAGAAAAATCTTATTCAACTTAATATTTCCTTGGTTTTGACTCAGCACAAATATAACAGATTTGTGAGTCTAAACCAGAGTGATACTGAGCCATCTACAGTTTTCTTTGGCCAAATTTAAGTTTTATCAGTTGACCCTGTATTGCACAACCTGAGTGTAGACACCTGAAGTTGTGTATAAATTGATTCTTCTTAGGAGAGCCTAATTTACATTTTGGTGAATTAGAAGGAGCATGGAGTAGACAGGGCACTAAAGCAAGAAGCCACTTTTTTAAAAAAAAATTAATTTATTTTTGGCTGTGTGCGGGCTTTCTCTAGTTGCAGCGAGCAGGGGCTACTCTTCGTTGTGGTGCGTGGGCTTCTCATTGCGGTGGCTTCTCTTGTTACGGAGCACAGGCTCTAGGCGTGAAGCCTTCAGTAGTGGCATTTCTGGAATAGAGCGCAGGTTCAGTAGTTGTGGCTCATGGGCTTAGTTGCTCCATGGCATGTGGGATCTTCCCGGACCAGGGCTCGAACCTGTGTCTCCTGCATTGGCAGGCGGATTTCTAACCACCGCGCCACCAGGGAAGTCCCCAAGAAGCCACTTTTTAATGGCAAGTAACTAAAACCACGCTGTTCTTTTGTTCGCATTCTGGAGCTTGTCTCACATAGTGATGAGGTGGCACTGTGAATTCTCTGCTGGTTTATCTGCACTACCTACAACCACAGTAAGAGAGACAAGGGCTCTAGAGTACCTGTGTCGTCCCTAATCTGGCAGGTTCCATACAACTCCTTTCATTTTTATCTAAGTTCATTCTTTCACGATCTGCCTTCTGTTCACTGCACAAGCTCTTTTTAAACTCTTTCCCAGACCTTCTGCCAAGGGGAGCTACTTAAACCATTTGTTGTTTCACCTCTGCTTTCTGTTTATTTCATGTGCATAAGACTTTTCTCATTTTAATAACATCAATGTAAGAAAGAGTTCTATAATTGGGAAAAATGTACATGGCCACCAGGTAGTTCAGCTTTGGATTCTCTGCTGCAACTGTTCAGCTCCAACTTGTATTCTTGCCATATTTGACTCTTGTCGTTGCAATAACATGAATACTCTACCTATTCCTTCTTGGCTATTTTCCTGTCTCCCCATTAACATATTCTATTTCTACTAACCACATCTAACCTCTCCAGTAAGATTTCCTTCTGACCAATGCTGCTCAGTACCGGCATTTTAGAATTTGAGAACTGAAAGGGACCTCATGAAACTATGGACTAACTCCCTATAAAGAGATGTTAGGGTGACCTGTTTAAAGCTACAAAGCTACTTGGTGCCATATCTGGATACCACATTTGCTTTTTTTTTCTCATAACGTACCCACTGTAGCATATCTAGACACGTAGCATATAACAATAACCTTTCTATTTAGTGAACAAACAAGTTCAGAATCCAGGGGATAGATATCTGGAAAGGTAGGGCAACATAAAAATCTTTCTTACAAAATATCCACGCAAAAACTTCATTTAGATCAGTCTTAGACGGATTACTTCTCAGCATTTGAGGCTTTAGAACATGGTAAAATAACAGGAGAGAAAATATATACAAATGTGATCATGACTTATTTCTGACAATTATAAAAAGGGGTATACTGGCTAAGTCGATTTTCTTGATCATAGAAATTTTAATTTGGTATTTAAAGGGTTAATAGTTTTACACAAAATGGTTTCCAAGACACCTCTCATGTTTTCCCTACTTTCAAAACTTGAGATATGATTTAACCTTTTCTGTATGATGTAGGGTCCTTGCTATGAACAATTACTACTATATTGTGCTATAACGTATCAATTTACTTTCAGGATCTCTTTGTCCCTACAAATGACTCTAAACTGTTGTGCTCTTCTGGTTGGCCTTCCTTCTCACTCTTTTATGGTCATCACTGTCAGTGAGTGT